GTACGCAGTTGAACGACTTACTAACTAAGTCCTCTTTATAGCTTATTGAACGGAAACTGTTGCAGTTTAAAGTTTCAAACACAGCGATTGAGATATGGACAATCATTTGAAAAAGATTTTAATTCGTTCATTATTGTTGTCTTCAATTAATTTGTAACTTTGAACCAAACCCAACATTAATTAAGATTTTTCTGATACAAAGAATATATGCTAGTCTTTTATTTTCACAGTTGAAAGCGTGCGTCAATTGAAGCTAGACCACCAAGTTAAACCTGGAAGCACACGACCTCGCCTCGTGAGATTCGAACCCAAGACCTACCAGTCTTTTATTTAATGGTTGAAAAGTTTAAATCAATGAAATACATTTTTAACATCTAATGACATCTATGTACTCGGGCATCCAGTTTCTATAAAAATAAATTAATCATTAAAGTTTCAACAAGTGTCCATAGAGATTAATACTATCGTGACCTGCTTAAATATCTGGGCTACCTATTCCTTCCATCTGGATATTTCAAAAAGTTATCTTTTGCTTGTTTGTTTTAGCATATCATTTTCCCTATTATTTTCATGACCTATTCAGGTGCGTTTGTGAAGAGTCTACGACATTTTGCTTTACAAGTTACAAAAGAGTCTAATCAGAGACATCGTGGTTGCTGGATACATGCATCGAAAATAATATACTTTCCTTAAATGTCGATTCCTGAATTTCTAACATCTAACTGTCGACCACTCAATATTTATCTCATAGATCGATCAAGACATAAGAAAACGAAACCAGTTGAAATCATTTGTGCTGAGAATTCTACGCTGTACTGAAAATATACTATTGAACAAAGCCACTAACAATAATAATAATAAAAGGTTATGAGTCTCCACAAAGAATCTGCTAAATAATTTAATCCATAATATTGCACTACGATCGTGGCTCTTAAATGCTCATTTTGGTAAGCCTGTCATCCTTTTAGAAATTTTAGGTGGTTAGTCCATTTTATAAATTTCGATAAAACAATGAGAAAACGGTGTTGATCTGAAAAATGCAGTTTATTTGCTGTATACATTTCTTACAATCTAGTCACACATATATTTGTCAAGGCACTTTATATGAAAATTAATAGGGGTCAATTAAATGAAGGTTCAAGTAAACAAAGAAGTAATTGTAAATTATGGAAATAAAAATAAAAAATCGTATAGAAAGTATAGGACGTTGTCTCATTACCCTAGACCATAGGGTGACATGAGGATTACCAGGGCGAAACCAATGTTATCAAAAAACGGTTTTTGTGCACATAAGGGGATTTTAATTTATGAGTAGACAGCGCTTCTATAGACCTAAAAATTTGTCTTTGACAATTTTCATACCACACTTTAAAATCTGTATTGATTTCAGTTCTGTGTCCCTTTCCAATTGCTTGCTTCGCTATCGATGAAGATGGTGTTTTACTCTCAACGTCTATCGGGACACTTGAAATTAATTGATATTGAACCCACCTAAGCACATGTTCCATAACCCTCGCTTAGATTGTTCGATTAGTCCTCCCTATGTATGTGTGCCCACACAAACATGTGAATTGGTAAATGTGATGGAATATGGCGCAATTTTTCGTGCATTGTCTAGGTCTATTTGGAACCATGGGCTTAGTCCTTCAAATCACTAGCAATTTAGAAGCGAAATACGTCTACTCAATGACTGCCTCTGATTTCTATATTAAAACCATACTGTTAGATTCACATCTAATTGCTGCGTACATACTTGCATCTGTTACCCCGCATAAAGGAGTACAGGCCGCCTATAAGAATTCTCCGTCGAACACCGTTGTTTGGAGTACTTTCAAATTGTTTCTACTAACCACTCATCCTTTTCATGTCTACTTTCAATTCCTAACTTATTGTGTTCGTTGGTATTCCTCTTTTCTGTTTCCCTTTACGATCCCAAATTACGAGTAAGGGTGTTGTCAAAATTCAACTATCTGTGACATCCTTCACTTCATACCATTTCGTTATGAGATGGTTTGAAACCCATCACTTGTAAGAATAACCTCGGCCCTATTTTCATTGATTCGATATATTTTGCTGCTCGAATAAAATACCACTGATTCAGAAAATGATGAGGCTTCTTTCATTACCTAGAAGAAAAGTTGTTGATAGCTATGCCAAGGACTTGAGTATCGACAGTGAAAAAAGTGAGAGTGATACAAGTTCAGTCTCAGGAGCGGCCAAACAATCCACTGCAAAACATGAAAATGGGGAATTCTCTTTGGAATGAATAAAGAAAGTAATGTCATTCGGGGTCACTAGTGGTAACTCTAATTTCGCATCTAATGGCCTATATGAAACCATCAGCGTTCCAAATAACTTTGATGTGATTGGTTCGAGTGAAGAAAAGAGAACAGAGGTGAAGGAGCAATGAATAAGAAGTAGAAAAATGATCCTGTTGACAACGCATGATTGACTAAACCAGTCTTTTCTAAGGTCCCTTTTTGAATCACAGGATACTCCTCCATAGTTCGAAAGTTCGGCTATATTTGACCGCATGGTAGACGAAGAAAGCTTAAGTTCATTAAACATTTTTGAGTAATATGACAAAATCTACGGATACTGACCAAGCAATTATATGCACACATGATTTGGAAAAGGTTAAGATATTTATTCTTAGCGTTTTACTAAATAATTATACAGGTGTCCAGATGGAGAAATTGATAAGAATAGACAAGAAGACTGACGACTATGTTAACCCGTACCGTGTGAACTTCTGTGGGTGGTCCTAGGGTAAAAGGGACAACTAAACCTTTTGTTAACTGGTAGTCCAGGTCAAGGTAACATTAACATCTAAGTGAGGCCTGATATTCCTCTAGTGTTAATAATAAAAGGAAATGAGACTCTAACTGAACTAAAGACTTGTCGAAAAAACAATGAAAAAGACCCTCGTTTAATGGATGTTCTGAGGAGGCAAATCTTGCAAGCAAATGCCCATGGATGAATTTAAGTCACATATCATATACATGGCTGAAATTCGGTTAATTCGAAACTCTGATGTCACTCCAGTAATATCATACCTCAAATCTGTGAGATGTGCTGCTTCGTTTCAGGCGTGAAGCGAATATTTCAAAACGACTTGAACAACAAAGGAGCAAAATTGTGAACGATCCTATAGAATTATTGTCTAGTCCCGTATAAAAGTTACCATATAATAGACCTAATCCCAGAATTGCAGATTTGTCATGATGTGAAAACCTAACCCAAAGGATCCTATATGGAAGTAACATCATGGTCTACACTGACTCGTTCTATTGTGACAATCAATAATAGGGTGCCTAGTACTTCTGAAGAATACATTTTGGTTGAGAGAAGAGCATAAGGTCACATAAAATGCCGGTGACTGCATGGCCAAGCCATGCTTTTTCGATCAGTTCTTGCGGCGTTTACCGTTGCTGACTTTCTTCCGTGTACAAATTTGAATGTGAATTTTCTCGGTTATCTTATGTTCAGTTTCGACGATTGTGTGATGAGAACCATCATCACTACACTCACTCTGAATTTCTTCCTAAGAGGCAGACACATACACAACCTATTACGGGTTATGGGATGACTTGATACTGACTTATTGTAAAATGAAAAATAAGGTTGGTATTAATATTTCTTGACTTTTCCGTTTATCTAAGACTGATCATCTGAGAGAACATTCTGAGAAGGTTCAGAAGCTGAAATTAAATTGCTTGCAATCGAAATTCCTTTTTTTCATCATGTAGTGAAGTATCGAAGTTCTCTATCGAAACATCACCATCTCGTGCTGATTTATTCAAAGCAAGATCGGATCTTCACATTATTGCAAACTGCTAAGATTAATATAGGTTAATTGATCACCTATACTAATCACAGAATACTGAAGCAGCTTACTCATCGATGTTCTTATGTAGCCTATATCACGCCTATGCCTCACCTCTGAGTCTTTTTCAAAAAACCGTTTCAACTTGTGGAAGATGTATGACTTTCCTGAGAGATTGGTCTCGGAAGACTAAAACGTTTTCCCTTAAACTCTGCACACTTCGTTCAAAACTATCACTAACACTTAAAAAAGCGCCTACTTTGGGCAAAATACGTATGTTGATTGAAATTAAACGTTCTGGTCATGTGTTGAATATTTGGTGCACACGATAACCTTTGGCGGCAGCTGCGTTGCAATGCGTGGTTGCTTTCAAGTCATGGCTTATTGTTACTCCGAAGTCTTTATGTTCTTGAACGCGTGGAAGAGATGTATCATCAGTGGTATAATGGTAACTATTACCGTGTCCTATGTGCTTGAGAACACTTTTCCTATGAATAAATTCTAAGCCCCAAGCTCCAGCTCATCTAACCAATTCGTTTAAGTCAGCTTGGAGATCAAAATGTTCAGCCTCACTTCTTATTGTTCTCCAGATTTTGACATACTCCGCAACCAATATCGACGACTTTAAGCAATAGCGGTAATTAATTAAAGTAGAGAAGGAAGGTAGAAGGCCTAAGATAGTGCCTTGCGGCACAACACTTCTGACCGGCTTCCATTCAGATAGCGTTCTATTGACCCCTACGCTGTCTGCGGTTAGGTAATAATTTTCCTATCCACTCCTGTACAGCACCTCATATTCCGAAGCTCAAGGGCTTGTGAATGAGACAAAAGTGTGAACCTTGTCAAACGCTTCGCTAAAATCTATGAATATCACATCGACAGACAGACCGTTATCTAGGGCTGCTATCCAACCATCGCTCGCAGTAAGTAATTTAGTCAAGCATGAACGTTTTTACGAATTACATGTTATTCGGTAGTTAACAGATTGTACAAATCTGACTTCGTAACTTAACACTTATCAACGTGAGGTGACCTTATTTTAGGGTTTTATGTCTTTAATTATGATTTTGTTGCTAATATGTCATACTTCTCCACTATTCTCAGCGCTAATAATCTTCAAGGCTACAGCAAGAATGTTCAAAACCGTAATCCAATATATTTAGACTGGTGTTCCTTTTTTTCCTCCAGTGGTTAATGACTAGAACCTCTTACCCCTGAAAAAAGGTATCAACGCCATCAGTGAACATGTTCAAGGAGATGCTGAACCGTTGCTGGAAAACGTACTGTAAGGATTGACACAGGACCATCAACACACTATCCTTATTATTGAGGACTGAAAGCTGAATCAACTTTCAAGGTCGTTGTAGGTCGATTGGTCTACATAATACCATGACGATTTATAGCACAATTTTGAATAAACGAACCTTATGTAACTAGAAAAGAACGCTTCGTGGAAGCTTTTCAATGATGAGAAATAGCGTCTCAAGTTCTATGCGAATGCCTATGCGTTCGAAAAGTTTCTCTCCTGGTCGGTCATGTGAGTGATGATAAATTTCTATTAGTTTCAATTATAGTAAGAAAAAATGCAATGGAAAAATATGGAAAAGCAGTAACAGGGTTTTCACTTGACACTTCAGCGTAAGTATTTATACCTGCTTGTTCCAGCTTCGTAGAGATCTGGAAACAAATTATCGAACCATGAGGAACTTAGAGAATGAATATATTAAAAGTCTGCAACAACAGATTTATCTTTTGGAGCTTGAAAACAACTACATTCGACATCAAGCTGCCGAAGTGATGGATAAACAACCTTTGATGGTTTGTGAGGCATCGAATTCCTTGAAAAAGCTAAAAGTGCGTGTGTGAAATAATGGGTGTTATATTCTAAGTGTCTGATTAACTCACTTTTAAATTACATTGACAGCTCAATCTTTTGGTTTGCATTAATAGAAACAGATAGTGCACTTATTATAAATTTTAAGTCGTTTATGGTGGTGGCTGGGTTTTCCTAACGTATCTCCCAGTGCTTTCCGAGGATGAAAGCATCTGATTTAACCAAATGCCATTACGCTTTAACTTGTAATACATTTAGCAGGATTTATTCCGACAAGCAAAAGCGTTTAAAGTGGTGTGGTGGTTAGTAATTTACAGAACTGCTACGAATGGGTCAGCATTCAAATTATAGGGAATCCAGTGAGCACAGTTGAAGGTGTTTTATTTTGCTATTCCAATTAGACGCAGAACAGTGTACACAGAAACCGTCATTACATATAAACATAACGCTTTGTGAATAGTTTGTACTTATCAATAACTTACTGATGTAAATACTTTTGTAGGTAATAGAGTTGATGTTAATGATTGGCTACAACTAACACATTACTGAAGACTCATTATAAAAATCATCAATACAGCCAAACTAAAACCTTTTCTCATTCTCCCCGTCTGTAAGTTCCTTGGATGTGACCAACAAGGCTGACTAATTCTAGAGTAATTACAGATCTTTAGATTCTGGTTAGTATGTGCCACGATTTCAAAGTAAGCAAACAAATTTAGAAGTTACTTTTTTATTGTCCAACAACAAAGTAATCGAAACCTACATTTTATTTTGAATGTCTTAAATTTAAGAATAGTACCTGGGTGGTAATATCTATAAGACGATGAAGATAATCTTAGTATAATTTAATGTTTGAGCGAAGTGAGTGATTATGTTTGATAATCAATCCAGAAACTGGAATATAATTCCGCTAAGTTGAATGAAATACAGCTTAAAAAAGAAACTTACTGGTTTTAGTTTGGGGAGGATAGGAGGTTAATTGGCCTATCAGCCTTGGCAATGGCTTTCCTTCGGATGATCTAACCTCCTTCGAACGAGTTGCTACATATAGGTTTGATCACATGTTGCAATGAGGAGCTATACTAATTGGACATCAGGTGGGAAAGTCGGTAGTCAGTTGACAACTAAATGGTCTTAGACTTGCAAAACTTTTCAGAGTGTCTTGATAAATATTCAACAGCTGACTACCCTTTTCTAGTCATGAGCTGACAGTTTCTGTGTATAAAAAGTCCAAGATGTCTTAACATCTGCAAGGCTAAAGGCTTTGCTTGTTGACTAGAGCTTTCTACAATATTTAGCACTTATTGTATCGCAGTTTGAAGTAGATTTTTATATTTTTGCTAACAATCACCTCAAGATCCTTGTGTGTATCTACACAAAGAGCAGCTCAATACCACTTATCGCATACTCGTCTTTATATTGTTGATTATTACACATCACTGCCTTTCAGAGCATTTATTAGCAGCTGACAACTTTCGGGCTATTTAGGTGATTTATGTAGGTCATTTTAGAGAGCTAAGCTATCAAATTATCTTTTTATGTTCTTTTTATTGAATATCGTTGGCACATAACAAAACTGTTGACAACAGGAGAGCAGGAAAGCAATTTACAAACGACAGAAATATTTGTGCCACGATCTTTTGTGAATTAACTAATTCAGTGGACGTCAAAATAGTGTGATTTAAATTTTGGTTTCCGAGTGTTTTGATGTGATTTAATTTTACTATAACTTAGGAAATGCAAGAAAGAACTGACGGGTTGAACCTTGAAATTCATCGTAAAGAAGCTCACATAAGTATATTACAACAGAAATTAAACCGCTGCGAAGAGAGTCTACGGGAAACCTTATGTAAGTTACCAAGGTATTGTGTTTCAGTTTTGGGATCTGATAAGAGCTGACGTTTTATCATATGATTTCACTATGTCGTTGAATAGCAAATATCAGGTTTATATTGTAAGTATTTTATCTCATGTCACTTCGAAGTTTCACTTTCTTTACAAACAACGGTCTAGAAATAATCATTAATTGACAATCCAATCCAAGTTTTAGTTATAATACTATGTCACTGAGATTTGCTCTTCAGATTCTTGTAAGTTAGTTCCCTATCTATTAATTTATAGACGATAAATGTATCAAAAGCCTTTTTAAACCCATGAAGTTGGTTTTTCCAAAGTATTTATCTGTTCACGTCATTCAATAATAAGTGGGCGCATATATTATTATGGTATCATTGAAGTACTCTTTTAAAAAAGATATAAAACGCTTTCCCAAGTCTTTTTTATTGTTTAACAAGCCTTGGTGAGTATTTTAAAACCATCAAACCTACCGTAAACGATTTCTTGTCCGTTAATTTTAACCAGCTTTGGATTATAACTTGTATTACATTACCCGAAATCTAACCACAAATCTACAATTCGAGTTAAACTACTGATATTTATCATAAATTCATTAAGCAATTAAAAATTATCTTTCTTAAAATTAACTCTCTCCATTAATTCGAATCACGCAAAATCAACAATTAGCTCAGAAAAGTATTCGTTTTTATATCATAGGTTCTCATTAGATTCGTGAAGTCGTGATCCTGTTACATAATTTAATAACAATAAGAAATAAAACTCTGTCTCTTCTAGAGTTACTGCCGTTCCCAAGCTCGGGTAAAAAAGGAGGGTTGGGTACGCGGTCGGCACCCCAATCCCGTAAAAAAAATCTTGCTAAAAAAAGCCAACCAGATTGAATAAATTAAACCATTTAAGCTCTTACTAAGTTGAAGGAAGAATTATGACGCCTCACAATGAAAGCCGACATTTTTCGGAAACCACGAGATTGAGGCCTCTTTTCACAACCGGAGCATATATTAATATATGTACATTGAATTCCCGGACAATGTGGGAGACCGGGAAGACCAATCAAATAGCAATGGAAATGAGGAGATACAAGTTGGCAGTACTCGGAATCAGTGAAACCCATTGGACCCAAGCTGGATGGAAAAGGTTAGATTCAGGAGAGATGCTGCTGCAATCTGATCACGAAGATAGAACGCTTCACACACTCAGGGAGTTGCTCTGATGCTGTCCAGAGAAGCACGAAATGTACTTGTAGGATGGAAATCTTACTCATCCAGAATCACCAAAGCATTATTCAAAACAAAGAAGGGGGGATAACAATGAGTGTTATCCAATGTTATGCACCCACTAATGATAGCAACGACAGCGATAAAAATTTGTTTTACGAGAGGCTGCAAACGATAATTAAGAAGTGCTCAGGAAAGGACCTGACCGTCCTGATGGAAGATCTAAGTGCTAAAGTCGGGATGGACAACACCTAATATTATGATGTAATGGGAAGACATGGACTGGGAGAAAGGAATGAAAATGGGGAGAGATTTGTAAATATATGTGCATTCAACAAATTGGTTATAGGCGGCACAATATTCCCACACAAACCCATACATAAAGCTACATGGATCTCACCAGATCACACCACAGAGAACCAGATAGATCACATCTGTATAAACAAAAAATTCCGAAGGAAAATGAAAGATGTAAGAACAAGGAGACGAGCTGACATAGCTTCAGATCACCATCTACCTGGTTGTGTCAAACATGAAACTAAGGCTAAAGAAACACTGGACAACTGGGGAAACAGCATTACAAAGGTTCAATACAGCCTTCCTTCGAGATACTGACAAACTCAACGAATTCAAGATAACTCTCAACAACAGGTTCCAATCTCTACAGGATCTACTGAAGGAACAAGAAACTACGATGGATAACAACTGGAAAGGGATCAAAGATGCACTAACTTCAACGTTACAGGAGGTTCTGGGTCGCAAGAAGCATCATCAAAAGGAATGGACATCTATGGGAACCCTGGACAAGATTGGAGAAAGGAAGAACAAGAAACTAGCAATTAACAACAGCCGAACACGCGCAGAGGACGTCAAGGCACAAGCAGACTACGCAGAAGCAAACAAACAAGTAAAAAAAGAGTATTAAAGCCGACAACCAGAAATACATGAGAGAACTAGCAACGACGGCGGAAAAAGCTGAAAGAGAGGGGAATATGAAACAAACATATAAAACAACGGAGAAACCAGCAGAGAGATATAGTAAATCGGAGAGACCAGTCAAGGACAAAGAAGGAAAGACAAGCACAGAGATTCAAGAACAGAGGAAAAGATGGGCAGAATACTTCGAGGAACTGTTGAATAGGCCAGCCCCATTGAATCCACCGGACATCGAAGCAGCACACACAGACCTTCCCATATCTGTCACTTCACCGATGATCGAGGAAGTCAAGATGGACACCAGACAAATCGAAAGTGAGAAAGCTGCAGGACCTGACAATATACCAACTGAAGCACTGAAGTCAGATATTGAAGTAACTGCAAACGTGCTTCACCTTCTATGCAGGAAGATTTGGGAGGAGGAACAAATGCCAACGGACTGGAAAGAAGGATACCTGGTCAAGATACCAAAGAAAGGAGATCTGAGCAAATGTGAGAATTGCAGAGGCATCACACTCTTGTCAGTACCAGGAAACGTTTTCAACAGAGTGCTGCTGAATCGGATGAAAGACGCAGTAGACGTCCAACTTCGAGATCAACAGGTTGGATTCCGTAAGGATCGATCGTGCACAGACCAGATTGTGACACTATGGATCATTGTTGAACAATCAGTTGAATGTAACTCGTCACTATACGTCAACTTCGTTGACTATGAGAAGGCGTTTGACAGTGTGGACAGGAGAAATTATGGAAACTTCTTCAACAGAATGGGGTTCCTCAGAAGTTTATCACCATTATCCAGAACTCTTACGACGGATTACAGTACAAAGTGGTGCATGGAGGATAGGTGACAGATCCATTTCCAGTATGGGCCGGAGTCAGACAAAGCTGTCTACTCTCCCCCTTCCTCTTTCTTCTGGTGATTGACTGGATTATGAAGAAGTCGACATCTGACGGAAACACGGAATACAAAGGATATCTCAGAATCAATTAGATTATTTGGACTTCGCAGATGACCTAACCCTCCTCTCCCATACACACGAACAAATACAGAAGAAGACAAGTAATGTAATAGCCGTCTTTGCATCAACAGGCCTCAGCTTACACAATGGAAAAAGCAAGATTCTCAAATACAACACGGAGAACGCCAAGCCAACCACATTTGATGGAGAAACTCTGGAAGAGGTGGAAACATTCACGTACCTGGGAAGCATCATTGATGAACAAGGAGGATCGAATGCAGATGTAAAGGCGATTGGCAAAGCAAGGACAGCATTTCTACAGTTTAACAACATATGGAACTCAAAACAACTGTCAACTAATTTCAAAGTGAGAATCTTCAATACGAACGTCAAGACAGTCTGTTCTACTATATGGAGCTGGAACGTAGATAATTACTACAACCGTCGTCAAGAAGGTATAAGTATTTATAAACAATTGTCTACGCAAGATTCTCAACATTCACTGACCGGATACTATCAGCAACAGTGTTTTATGGGAGAGGACAAACCACCTTCCACCTTCTTCTTATTCTGAATGTTTATCTGGATAAATGAATGTTTGAAGTAAATTCCTTCAACGTAACTCGTATTTGGCTTCTTATTACTGTCATCACACAAACAGGGTTAGCCTAGTTAATATACGGAGTTAAATGGAAAATTTATGTACACAACATATTCCTGCGGTCAAACGGAGGTCAGATACTTGACTACAAAACGCTGCAAGATCATTATACTATATTTCGACTGCAACGTATTCTTCTGTAAACCGTCTTCGTTTACAGTGACGCACCAGGTGACAGCACTTAAAATAATACTATATACTCTAACGACTTATAATTCCCTTTTATATAAATAAAAGGACATGTTATCATATTTGAATACTCAGTAATATGTATATGTCAATGTTAACTGACTTCATACAACTGTACTATGTATTGTACAGTATGAGAAAATGAGCACATATTCACAAAATACTAATGTTCCTGCTCTTTCAGTAGTTCCAAAAATAAATTATAGAAATTAAATAGAAGCTGCCTTGGTTGGGATAACCTTGGGCGCTCAGATTATGGTAAACAATCATGAGGTCACCTTCTGTTCATCTGTTTCATTGACAAAATCACCCCCACCATCCGGGGAATTCGATCTTTATACAATTAGTTACTCAGTACTACAAACCTCATTGATTTATGTTGCTGTACATATTTTAACATATTCACATCCCTTTTCAAAAGAATACATGTTGAAAAATGTAGGCGAGTTTATATCTCAAATAATATTAAGTACAAATTAGTTGTTTGAGTACCTAATAATACATGGTAGTGGGAAATAGTACTATAATTGGAAGGGGTTTTGTGAAGATTTCAGTATTTTCATAGTTTAAATCATGAGTCAATTGAAGCTAGACCACCATCGAAAACATGGAAGCACTGGACGATCGTTTCGTCCTATTATGGAACTCCTCAGCAGTTCGCATCCACGATCCCGCACTCGCGAGATTCGAACCCAAGACCTACCAGCCGCACGCCAGAGCACTTAACCGATAGACCACTGAGCCGGCTGAGGAGTCCCATATTAGATCGAAACGGCCGTCCAGTGCTTCCAGGTTTTCCATGGTGGTCTATCTTCAATTGACTCATGATTTCAACTATGAAAGTACCGATAATTGTTTTTTCGAAAAGTTGTACTTATTATAAATATGAATATAATCATGAAGCTTATTATGAAAACAAATGTAACTATAGTAATATCTTTCATGAAACAATAAAATACTATCGATACCGCACATTTGGTAACCATGACAACATTTTTTTGAAAAAAAAGTGTTTCATCATGTGCTCATG